ACAAAACACAAAACAAAAGGAAGTTCATTTCCATAATATAATAATTATGCTAATTATTATTGTTATTGGTACATTGCCACACTCCAAGGCAAGATTTGGGTCCCATAATAAACCTTATATTTGGTCCTTGACCAAACCCATTTCATGTTTGCCACGTGGATGACAGCGGATGCATGATATAAGCATGAAGTGTGATGATGACCCACATGATCTAATTATTTTATTATATTTATAAAGAAAAAGAAAAAAAGAAAAAAAGAAAAAAAAAACACAGCATACATACATTTGGAAAAGATGAATCTCCCTCATGTTAACATACTCTCCAGTACCTTTACTTGGAAGTATAGAGGGAAGTTGTGTCACCCGCCGCACTGGAGTTGAGAGCACCCGAATATCAAAATACTCCAACACCTTCTTTTTCACGTAACCACTTAATTCTCTCTCTATAAATATATCACACCACAATGAAGCCTTGCTCATCACTATTCTTCTTCTTCTTCTTCCCCTTCTCTTGCTTAATTTGATCCCATTAGTTTTTGTTTTCTTTTCTTTGTATTGATATACCCACCAAGATGGGAGATGGCAACGTCAATCTACCTCCTGGTTTTCGATTTTACCCGACCGATGAAGAGCTCGTGGTTCATTTCCTTCAACGAAAGGTGGCCCTCTTGCCTTGTCACCCCGATGTCATTCCTGACCTCGATCTTTATCCATATGATCCTTGGGAACTTGAGGGTTCGTATTATTTTATAATTAGTGGTTAAAGAACTTAGTGTTCCTAATTTAGTTTTTGTATTCGGCTTTGAATACAGACATATATCAAATTTAAAGTCAAAAGTTTAAGTTTCAGGCCTTCCTAGAGTTGTCTATCCATGGCAACGTGTTTGTATTTCGGTGGTATTGGTTTGTATTTATGCTTTTTATTGGCTGTATATATGCATGCGTGAGTTATACTGATTTTGATGCTGCAACTCTTTTATATAATATATCTCTTTCTTTTAGCTGATCAAATAAAAATCAAAAGTTTAAATTTAGTTAAGTATATCTATCCTAACTCAATTAAGTATTTAACAAATTGGTTATTTGGTGAGTAGGAAAAGCTCTGGCAGAGGGAAACCAGTGGTACTTCTACAGCAGGAGAACGGAGAGCCGTACCACTAGCAACGGCTACTGGAAGTCCATGGGAGTCGACGATCCAGTCCTCAACAGCTCGAATAAGAAAATCGGAATGAAAATGCACTGGATGTTCTACATGGGAGGACCTCCCACCGGCGTTAAAACCAACTGGATAATGCATGAATATCATCTCTCGGATTCCGGCTCCAGCAGTAGTAGATCATCCAGAAGATCGGGCCACACAAAAATAGTAAGAACCAAATTTTCAGTATTAATTATGCTAGACGCAGAAGTAGTACTATTATGTTCTTTCTTTTCGAACCAATAGAAACATTCTATTGCCTATTTTTTAAAAAATATGGAAACATATAAATATATAATAATATATTTATGTTTCAGGATTTTAGCAAATGGGTGGTCTGTAGGGTCTATGAGCAGAATTTCTGCGATGAAAATGACGACGGGACAGAGCTGTCGTGTTTGGATGAAGTGTTTTTGTCATTGGATGACCTTGATGAAATAAGCTTGCCCAACTAGAATCTGAGATATCTTAATTACTACTCCTAGTAGTACAAAAGATTTATCCAAATGTAGATTTTAATTTTAATTAAATGCATCGGGAACGAGAAGGCTCCGTGACTTAGTGATTAACACCCGTTATTAGTAATTTTTTTATGTTAAGATTTAAAAGGCTTGGAATTTAAATTTCACCCAATCCACAAAAAAAAAAAAAATTAAACGCATCGCGAACAAATGTATAATATTGATATCATTGCTAGGTAAATCAAATCAAATCAAATCAAATCAAATCAATCGAGTAGTATACTTCCCGTCAGTCCTCATCTCTTTTTAACTCGAATTTTTTTCACTAATTATGATTTTTTTTAAGTCACACAAATACTTTTTTAATTTTAACTCAGTTGTTATTTTTTAATTTTAATTATTTACCTTAAAATTAAAATTTTTTCTTTATATTTATCGCTTTCATAATATTATAGATAAAGTATATAATTTTTCTATAAATTCTTAATTAATATGTAAAAAAATAAAAAAAATATGTAAAATAAATAAAAAAATTAATTATCTTAAAATAAAGGGTGTCTGAGGAGCCTATTGTTATCCCATAACATCAATTTTCTACTCCATAACCAAAATTTTATCATTTTCTTTCCTTTATCCTAAAATAATAAACACTTTTGTATTTTACTAGGGTGAATATTTAAAATCAAAATATAATAATAAAGTTAAAATAAAAAAAAATACTTGTCTTCCCATAATAATAGACTTATTTATTTTATCTTCAAATTTGGACGTACTTTCTATTTTTATTTATTTTATTT